GAGGCTTGGGTAGCCGCGGTCACCCATGTGGCCCGACTCCCTCGGGGGGGTCGGGCCCGAGGATGATTTGGCCACCCCTCCCTCTGTCTCCCCGAGCGCTTCCCTCGAAGGGGGCAATCGCCCTGGCATAACGCCGGGGGCTACTGTCGGTGACATGAGGCCGAGGGTATCGTGACAGAGGCTTGGGTAGCCGCGGTCACCCATGTGGCCCTACTCCCTCGGGGGGGTCGGGCCCGAGGATGATTTGGCCACCCCTCCCTCTGTCTCCCCGAGGGGTCGGGCCGCCCCTGTTTCGGCCCCGAGGGCTGGGGCGCCCCGACCCCCTGTGATTTTGGCGCCACGCGTATGGGTTAGGTGAACACAGCAGGGCTCACCTAACCGCATTTATTGCGGGTTGGACGAGCGCGCCATGCCGCATTTAATGCAGCGCAGCGCACGCTTATCCGGTCCATGATCGGTCGCAGTGTGTGACCGGTCACAGACCGGTCAGATCGCGGGTTAGGTGGCAACAGGCGGTCTGTCACACGCCTCGCCCCGTCCCGTCGGAGTGATGAGAGCCTCTAGGCACTCGTCCCTAGCCGGAGCCGGCGTGCTAACTCCTGGAGTTGGTATGTCAGTCCCGGCCAGATACGTACCAGGCTTCATCGCAACCATGGCAAGGAAGTCATTGTATGAAGAAGGGCAGACGTGCGGCATGCTAAACTGACGCGTGGTGGACAAGAATGACCGGTTTGTGACTGGTCTGACGCCGGTCACGTCGTTGGCAGACAACCGTGCTCCCACGTTGCATCTGCTTCCGGCGGAGTGGAGGTAGGTATGACCCATCCCATCGGAGGGTCATTCGGACGGCGGCCATTGCAAATCTCCGCCCATTAATGAAGGAATGACAGGGCTATCCCCTGTGTCAGGCGAGTAACGGCGCTGGGCCTCACTCAAGGACAAGCTGTGATTTAGCTTCCAGGCAAAGGCGCGAGCCAAGTTTTGGTCAAGATACGGTGGGTCCCCACCCAAAAGAAGAGTAGGTAGAAGTGGTGCATGTGGTATCCCCTTGAGATATAAAAGGAGGACCTTGCCCACCAAAGAAAAGGAGGAGAAGAAAAAGGGGAAGAAAAAAAAGAGGAGAAGAAAAAAAAAGGAGGAAGGGGAGGGGATTCTCAGACGACACTGAGATTACCTGAACTCTCTTGCTCTCTGGCTCTCTGTAATTCTTTCACACACAGATCCACCAGAACACAGGAGTAGGGTATTACGCTTCTCAGTGGCCCGAACCTGTCTACATCGCCCGTGTCTTGTGCATTTGCTCTCTTGCGCACATTCCACAGATCGAGGGTGAAGAACCTCACTTAGCGCCCCCGGCCGAACCGGCAAAGGGGGGCCTGCGCGGTCTCCCGGTGAGGAGCCCCACGCTCCGTCACTCCCAAACCGGACCTTAACTGTCATGATCACGACCATCAAAACTATGTGCTCACAACCTACTATTATTAAGTTTTAGTTGGCAATTAATTAATTAACCAATCACGATTTACCTTCGTGAGTTACCATTAAATATCCATCATCGAATAATAATGAAACATTACTAATGTTTCTAAACATGGCTAAGCAATTATATCTAATATATCTAGTTGAACCATTATATAAATCCAACTAGTCCAATTATAACCAAGGTATCAAGGAATAGGGTAATTAATGCAAAGTGGCCATAACAAAGTAATAGGTTCCCACCACCCGGTGACATTCAAAAATAAATGCACATTCGAAATAAATGGATAATTTAAATATAGGATCAACATGCTCAAAGGAATTTTGTTTGGGATATATGTGACTTGTCTTGCAATAATCGGTCTTCAATTAATCTTCTAGACACTTCCGACGTACTCACGAACCTTGCAAACGACGAAAACGACAAGTTAACACGCAAAACGTGGAAAAGAACTAATAAAAACCAAATAAATAGTACATTAAAAAGTAAACAAACATGTAGATATTGATTTTAGATGAATTTAGAGACATGAACGGCCTCATTCCGATTTCATATGAATTAATTACGAATTTTACAAGATTTAATTCCAATTAAACCTATTAAAGAAAAGACTATTCCAAATTAATTAAACAATTTACAAATAATTTATAACTAAGATAAAAGATTAGAGATCCTCCAGAATTATATCATAATTAGTGATGACATATATTAAAAAGGAATAAAATGTCATTGAAATGAGGGAAAAGATCTATATTGATTTTGGACGGCTAAAATTGATCTTGATGGAGAGTTGACTGAGATACAACAGATTATATTGAATCCGATCTAAGGTTTGGGTAGATATGGCACAGCACAGACAACAAGGTGGCTAGGTGGCAGCAGAGATACAACGACGTGGCAAGGACAAGTCAGCCACGCGAGTTCACTGGACGGCGGACACGGGAACGACGATCGCCGGCGAAATACGAAGCGACGGCGAAAAGGGAGGAGACTGGGAGAAGGAGCGCGAGGCGAAGGTCCTTACCAACATGAAGAAACTGGGAGAGGGAGCGCGTGGCGATGGTCCTTACCAACACTTACGCGATGACAGAAGATGGCTGGCGTCGAACTCCGAAGGGCAGCGATGTACTGGTCCACGGCGGCGATGCCTTTCCGGCGACGAGCGGCGGCAACAGAGGGGTGGCCGGGCTTCTCCTCGGCGCTGCGATCCCGGTGGTAGCAACGTCACATAGCGGAGGCGACCGAGGCGATGACGAGGTGCGGCTGGAGCAGGGGCCGGCGGTGGCGAAGCTTGGATTCACGTCGGCGAGGTACTTTCGGAGGTCTTCGGCTTCGCGGAAGGGGAGGCCGGGCTTGCTTTCTTCGCTGCGGTGCCGAAGGAAGTGGCAGCGCTGGACGAAGGCAACCAGGGAAGACGGCAACAGCGGCTGAAACGGCGGCTGGTGGCGGAGAGAGAAGGTGGCTGCGGGGAGAAGGTTTGCAGTGACGGCGGAGCGAGGGAGAGGTTGCAGCCGAAAGAGGAGAGGGAAGGGGCCCTATATATAGGAACAGGAGATCAGGATCGAGCCCACATCGACAGGAAAAACTCTGGGAAACTTTAGGGTTTTCGCCGGAAAAATGAAAGATTGATCCGCGAAATTGGAAAGAATTTCCACATAAATTTTTAGGGATTTCTTGGGGAAACGAAGAGGAGATTGAGAGGATTCCATCCCCGCAACTAATTTTGAAAGAGGAGGAACGGGGAGGCCGGATCCGAGGGAGGAGTCGGCGGCTGCATAGCACACGCACGCGAGAGAGGCGGCTGGAGGTTGAACATGGAGTACTGTAGCGAGGGATGAGAATTAGACGTTATGACTGGGCCGGAAGGGAGCAGCAAAGGACTTTTCCAATTTAAATTAACCAATTAAATAATCTTTGAATTGTTTAAAATACTTCCAATGGTCAAATAATTATTTCAATAAAAATCCTGAAAATACTTGGGCACTCAAAGTATTTAACAATATTAAAACCAGATCATTTAATGATTAATTTATTATTTAAATAATTGCTGAAATGTTCTTTGTATTATTAAAATTAGTAATTGAGTTATGAAAAATCCAAGAAAATTAGTAATTCATCGCTCTGTTTTACGTGTGGAGGGGAGGGATTCCCAACCCCTCCAAAAGAACACAACCTAGTGCAATGACGAAGCCACGAGGTATTGGGGTGTGCTTTTTTCTACATAATGGAATTTATTCCAGTTTTGCTTTGAGAAAAGCTGTATCTAATTACTCCCTCTATCCCAATTTGATCATTACCTAAGACTTTTGAGCTTTTCCCAAATTGATCATCATCTAACAAATTGTATTTTTGTTTATTGTGTAAAGAGTAAATGTGCATCGTGAAATGTCCCAGCATACATGCCTGCAACTAATGATCAATATTTGTAAATGAATTATTCTTGGATACGAAACGATGGAACACCTTGATCAATGAGAATTAATTTTAGAATAATAGATGCCTTGGGTGTTCTTAGTCTTTGGTATCCTTTGCTTAGAGGATGATAAAATTGGTATGGAGGAAGTATTATATAGGTTTTAGAATGATTGTGAATTACAAAATCACAGCTTGACTAAAGATGTGAAAACTACTTGAAATACCACCTCAAAGACAGATTTTTCATCAATAGTGTTGATAAGGATCTGTAAAACCATTATTTTCCCAATGGCGTATACAAGCTAATATATATTCCTTGTGTTTCCTCAAACTGTACTGCTGGTCAAGTTCGATAGATGTAACCGTTGACGACTAATGTCGAATTGAAGAGGAATATGGTATTGCAGAGTAACTTAGTAGTAAACAGTCAATCGCTAGATCTTGTCATCGCCTATATATCCATCGAAGTCCATCAAATAGGGACAATCATCAAGGATGCCTGGTATTCCTAGAATGGTGAACGAACAATCTTAATTTAAATGTGAAATCTAACGCTAAAGCTATCAAGCAATGATTTCGTCGCTTTGCTCAAGACTGAAGGGAGGCCATCAAGGAAGAGCTGACTAAACTTCTGACTGCTAGATTCAATAAGGAAGTCTACCACTCGGATTGGCTGGCTAATCCAGTTCTGGTTCGGTAGAAGATGGGACAATGTCACATATGTATAGACTACACATATCTCAACGAGGCTTGTCCCGAGGACCCTTTTGGGTTATCTCGCATTGACTAAGTCGTCGATTCAACTATCAGTTGTGAACTTATCAGCTTTCTCGACTGGTATTTGGGATATCATTAGATCAGCTGGCGTATATTGCTACATCACTATGCGTTTTGGATTAAAGAACGCTGGGGCCACATAACAATGCATGATTCAAAGATGTTTGCAATCACAACTCAGACGCAAACATGGACCCGGTTTCGCATGATGTTGCACTAGCCGCATGAAAAAAAAAAGTGATTTTCACAGACACCTGAGTGCAGGCGGGCCGCCCAGCCACTTACGAAAATCAATTTTGACCGTATGCAAAAACGATTTTCGTAGTAGTGGTTGAACTGGTATTCTCATTTATTTATTTTCATTATTTCATGGAGTTTGCTTGCCACACGTTTTAATTGAGTACGTATAGAACACTCCAAATAGCATACATATATTTTGGCGAGGTATTAATTAAACCAATGAGAAATACCGTACGTACGCTAGTATAAGTAGAGACCGTACGTGCATGCCTCTACTGTACTAGTATACGTATATATACTCGTATTTTAATTTAGTTGGTAGCCCTGCAGCTCTTCCTCATCTCGAAACGGGTCCCCTCCGCGGGGAGCACGCTGAGCTTGGCCATGGCGGCGGCGAACTCCATCTCCCACACGGTGGCGTTCTCCCTGAACGCGAACAGGCTGTCGCCGAGCGACGGATCGGTGCCATTCCTCAGCTCCCAGTCGGACCTGAGCAGCACCATGTTCTGCAGGTTGGCGTGGTAGAAGCTGTTGTCGAGCACGCCCACAGCCGCCATGTCCACGCCGGCGGCGTCGAACCCCGACGCGTTCCGGAACCCGGCGTCCATGTCGCGGATGTTGAACTTCTCGATTGGGTCCGTCGCGTTCTGCCGCCCCTTCAGGGTCTCGACGTCGCCGGCGAGCGCCGCCTGGTACCTCGGGTTGATCGGGGTCTCGGTGGTGGCGTTGATGCGGTCGCGGAAGGAGGAGAGGTGGCTGACGCCGACGGCGTGCGCGCCGGCGAGGGCGACGAGCTCCTCCGCGGTGAAGTTCTTCCGGGCGAAGTTGCCCGTGAGCTGGTCGATGTCGAAGGTGGACTCCGGGAGGGTGGCGTCGGCGGCGGCGGCGGACGACACGACGCCGTCCTTGCGGCCGGTCTCGACGGCGTAGGTGATCCTGCCGCGGCTCAGGATGGTGGTGGCGTCGCGCCCGGCGAGCACGACAATGTCGGCGCAGGAGACGGCGTCGCCGAGCTTGGCCTTGATGGCGTCGATCACGTCGAAGCCGCGGAGGCCGATGTTGTTCGCCGCCGCCTTCTCGACGCCGGCGCTGCTGTTGAACGGCGTCGTGTCCAAGAGCACGGACCCGTCACATCCCTGCATTTTTCATTACGCTAGTTATATGCATGTATATTGTAACGAGTTAGACCTATATATATTTAAAAATAGACTAAAGCAGGGATCTACTAGCTATATTTATGGCGTCATATTTTTCATCAAAAAATAGTCGGTATGTATTTACATTGTAAATCTCTAAATTACATATGTAATTTTAGTATATTTACAATGTAAGTCCTAAAATTACATATAATTACATATATAGGTCTTAAAATTACATATGTAAGTGATGTGTAAGTGGAGTGTAACTAGTATGTAAATTTGTATAAATACATAATTACAACAACAAAATTGACTGCTACAAACCCATAGCAATTCCGGATCAACAAATAAAGTAAAAAAATTGCAAAGGGATAAACAGGTGGAGAAACGGATGTGCATCGTGCACACGATGTCCAGCGCAGTGCATCCCAGCCGTTAAAATTCGACTGTACTCAGCCACATAATGTGGCGACACTTTTTCAGCAAATCCATCTTAGTTTCGGTAGAACCGAAATTTCGGGATTTTAGGCACTTTTCTAAAATTTTAACACAATGTAATTGAATTTGATTAAATTTTGACCAAATATAGAAAAATTTCGGTCGAGATATAGTGACTTGCACGGGTCTAAAATTTCTTAAATTTCGGACCGAAATTGTAATCACTAGACCAAACACACATAATTATGTAGCGACAATGGTTGTTTTTTGCGTACAAGCACACGCTGTGCATGTTAGGAGGGAAATGGAAAGGGGATATATCTGCTTTTAATATATATATAGTAGAGATAAACTGTGTTGTTAAGCAAACTATGGATGGGCCATAAATTAATTTAGGTCAGATTTTCGGCCCATCTATGAGAATGGGCCGGTTTGCTCTAAACCAGAAAACTCATGCATATGCTTTCTCGATTGCATGATGTGTCATATTCATCCATGACAAACGCTAAAACAAACTAAGGTGCTGTTCTTTTGTCCTGAAGATGAAGATAAAAATTAAGTTTTTTACGCAAGACGAGGTGGTATTAACGTATGATTGATTAAGTTTTAATTATTACAAACTTGAAAAATAGATTAATATGATATTTTAGACCAACTTTCATATATAAAGTACTTGCACGAAACACACCGTATAGTAGTTTGAAAAGCGTATCACGAAAATCTTAATCTTAATCCAACTCTTGTTGGAGAAAAAAACAAGACCTAATTGCGCTCCACCACTGTTTATCGTTGCATTTCTAGGATTAGTGCAAGTCATTTATCAACCAAAACTGAAGAACTCACATTTTCTTTATCATTTTAATCACGTGAAACAACAATGCATCCATCAAGCTACTTGAAAAGAAAAGCTATATAATTCAGTGAACCGTACGAATATGAAAACAATTATAATGTACCTAAGCATATGCTTGAGGTTCATAGGCATATATAACTAAAATTATAGTTCATAAAACTCCACATATTATGGTTTAAGTTACACAAAAACCATAAGAATTTTAACACATATTACATAACCCCTAATACTATGATCCTAAAGTTTCACAAAACCAGGGAAAATATGTAGTGTGAACTACATATGCACTGGGAATATAAAAACCACCATTGGATCCAAATATGAAATCTGAGATATGTCTATGTCACTAAGAGTAAAAGTTCACTCCTACATTTAATCATGAATTAAAGTAAAATATTTATCCTTGGTAACGTGGACAAATCTCAAACGTCCATTTTTTTATCTAACGATAGTTTCTAGGTTTCCATTATATTTATGGTTTGCATTATATATTTTTCCTCAAATGATACCGTTAACCATTTTGACATACTCATATATCAAAATTTAAAAGCAAACGTAGCATTTATACGATGGATGAAATCCTTATAAATTTAAGATACGATCGTAGAACTCAAAAGTGTGGTAAACCAAAATCAAAATGATCGTGTGACTTTGTAAAACTTTAGGATGATAATACCCGAGGTTACGTGCCACATAACAAAATTCCTGTGATTTTGTGTAACTTGGACTATAACAGATAGGGCGTTTTACGAAAATTACTCATCAAACCAAAAATTAATTTAAAGGAAAAACGGAAACACTACATACATTGACCCAGCAGTCGTGGAACACCAAGCGAATGAGGGCGGGGCCAACGCTGGGATCGGCTCTGATGGCCTTCACCACCTCCTTCCTCACCGTGCTCTCCACCTTGCCGCCGGCCGCCGCCGCCGGCTGCACGGCGAGCAACAAGCATAGTGATAGCACGGCGGCGCCGGCCAACGCGCGAGTAAGCTTCATCGCAATCGACAGAGATCACTAGCTACCTCCTCCAAATTGTTAATTTGATCAAGGTAAATTGGCTTAGCTAGAGAGGAATTGTTGTGCTTAATTAGGATAGATGAACTGTGGCTGTGTCGTCCAGGGGTATATATAATAGTGCTGGAGGTGATGATCACCAGCTTGTATATATTCAGACAAGCGTTTAATTATATTATTGGTAAAGTACTTATGTATACATATGTAAGAGATGAATGAATGCTTTTGCTTAACAACCAAGCATATGCATGCAGTTGCTGGACTGGATAAACTTCGATATCATCGTTTGACCATGTTCAAACATACAAGGTTACAGACTAGTACTAGTTAATTATGAAAGCATTATAGGTTGTGTACATCCTTTGTGTGTAGAGGCCGGTTTAATTCATTATCTAAAATTATAAAAGCATTAATTGTATATAGCTTCTTGCTTATTTTCTCCTTAATTACATGGAACACATATGGAGGTTAAATGCTAGCTCAAACAGATGGAGGTTAAGTACTCCCTCTGTTTCAAATTTACTTTGTTGTTTAGGTTAGTCCTATTTTTAACATGTATTTCTTTGAGCATTGATTTTTAGAATTCCATGTAGTTTAACAATATGTAAATCATATATTATAAAAATATTTCTCATGATGAATCTAAAATTATATATTTTATGATGTTAAACTATATGATTTTAGAGAAACTAATGGTGAAATAAAAAAATATTTGGCATCCTTAAAAATGTATGCTTCTTGAAAGCGTACAACCATATACATGCTCAATTTAGCCATCCGAGTGTAGACCCTGCTCGGTAGTCATATTCATCATACGTTTATTCGATACGAATTCAGTTTAATTTATTTGCTCGAGTATAGACTCTTACAATACAACAATTAAATTGCAATTAACCAACAAAAAGTTAATCCGTCGCCGACTTTCTCTTATATATGCTTCTTGGTTTCACCGAGCCGGCGAAGGCCGATGAAATTATTAAGGCAGGACAACAAAGTACATCAACAAAGTGCATACTATGCTGGAAAACAAAAGGAAAACAACAAGAATTTGACACTGCCAGCTCCGCTGAACATCTCTGATGATGAAACTACGACGTACTTTCACATATGTAGTAAGAGACTTCAGACTTGCAGGGCCCATTTCGATCAGACTGCAGGCTCGCCATATGGCCAGATCGAAATTAACCTTTGCTTGCCTGTGTGTTTCTTGTTAATTTCCGAGTCCCCCCGGCCGTTTCATTTGGATTTATGTGCGCGATGCTTATTATGATCTGTTAATGAGCTTGACATGAACTGTATTACAATGCTTTGTGCATGTCCTCTACTCACTCTGTTCCAATATTTAAAAACTATTCGGGAAAATTTGGGGGCGAGAGGGAATGTATAAATTTGCCTTCTTCCATTTTCACGGATTAAATTTGTTATTTTGTATTTTTTAAAAGTGAGCTTATATATAATAAATATGGACGATTGTTAAGAACTTCAATTTCCTAGCTAGATTATATTCTTGCTACCGTGTGATCGATCAAGCTTTATTAGCGTTTTAATTCTTCGTTCTGACAATAGCTAGAAAAAAAATCCCAAGTACATAGAAGGCCCAATTTTTAATTACTTGCTGCAATTTTTTCACACCAACTGCACTTAACAAACAAAAAAAACAATTAAGGCAACAAGTTGGCATGAATTAAATGAAGAAAGAAAAAAAATGCTTTGAAGAAAAATTCAATTTACAAACAACATATTACTACTAAATTAAACTTCCACGACTACAAATTTCACTTAGAAATTTTTGAATTTTCGGAAACTTCAGACCCGTCACAAAACGATTTTATCCAAAATTTTCAACTTTTTAATTCAGTAAAAAATACAAAATTGTGTGAAATTTTTGAGACCTCGGAAATTTCGGTGCCCTCAATGTAAATATACAAAACGAAGTTACAAACTCTGCTTCCATCCATGCTGGTCCATATGTGTCGACCAATGATATCAACATGATCGATCCAACAAAACTGTTACGAACTTGAAGGATGAAACGGGAAAGAAGAAGCAAGCAGCAGAGAAACAAATATTCAACTTGGGCGAGAAGAAGAAGGACTGAACTGGGGAATAGTCGTGTCCTCCTTCTCTCTCTGTACTCGGAATTTATAACCCATGCTGTTACACTTACAGCCCATTCCGGCTCACTCGCAACGAGCACTCGGCCTACCGAATGCCATTGTCAGGATTTGATACAGCAGACTGCTGCGGCGTAACATCCATACAATTTTTTCCCAAGTACATACAAGGCCCAAAAATTTTAATTACTTGCTGCAATTTCTTCACACCAAGTGCACTTAATTAACAACCAGTTGGCACGAACGTTAAATGATGAAAGAAAAAATTCTTTGAAGAAACAAAATCAGTTTAGAAACAACATATTACTACTAATTAAACTTCCACGACTTTCCACACAGTGATTCAAATTTCAGTTCAAATCTTTCAAAATTTCAGTAACTTCATACCTCGATCGACACAAAACCGAAGTTTTCGATTTTTTGAATTCAGTGAAAAACACACAAATTTTGTTTGAAATATTTGATCGAGATCTCAGAAATTTCGGTGCCCTCAATGGAAATATACAAAACGAAGTTACAGACTCTACTTCCAACCATGTTTGTGTGTTGACCAATGATATCAACAGGATGAATCGAACCAAACCGCACACACGTACATGATCATTATTTAGATAATAGGCCCACTACATTTCAAATGCAGTGGTCTGTATACAGATTAATTTTATTCTTCACACAAATACATAGTATAGAAGGCACGCACGTATTCATACCCGCTAAATACGTATAACGACCGTACACACATATGGATTCACGCACGTATACGCGTAATTGAAGTCCTCCCATTAAATTAGTTAATTTTATCAACAACAATCACCGTGCTTTTCCAGGAGCGTCACGTATTTCTTGTCCAGGTTTGTGTATTTGGCTTCCATCGCCTTGTATTTCTTGTCCTGGTCGGTGTGTCTGATTTCCAACGCTTTGAATTTCTTCTCCAGCTCACAGTAGTCTCTGTTCCTGTTCTGCCAGTACTTGTCCAGGGCTTGTATCTTCATCTGAAGGGCCGAGATTTGCTGGTTCAAACCGGCGATTTGGGCCTCGTACGATTTGTTCTTCACGTTTAGCCGCCTTGATGCTGCGTGTGTAAGTGCCTGCGCATGTGCGTCGAAATTCCGAAATTTCAGAAAATAAAAAGGGAATTTCAGAGAAGAATTAAACTGTTTTTTGCACAATTCAAACATGGTTGAAATTTCCAGGCAAAAGACCATCACTATATATGTATCATAAAATAGGACAACACAGCCGGGGTTCAAAATGGCTGTATCAATGATGACGGTTTTTGATTTGATAGTAGCTAGGTTGGCAACCGTGTTACCTGAGAGCAACACTCACTACTACAACAACGCACAAAATAGCTAGTATGTACTATAGGTACCAAAAATGCTATCCCTCGAGCGCTAATGACCGGTTCCTAACTAGGACCGTTGATGTTTTCCGTAGTAGTGGATTATCGAATACCGAACACGCACTGTTGTTTGGTGGTCTAATCCGGTAGCATCAATCTTTGACGGTTCACCTCCCGAACTGCCAGTGCTAACTAGCTAGTACCACCGACTGTTCTATGTGTTTTGGGTGGGAAATTTACTAGCTACTGACGGTTATATGTGGTCTGGGTAGGAAATCACGGTGAACCAGCGTACTCCCTCCATCCCAGAAAAAACTCAACCTCATACTACGACGTGACACATCCTAGGACAACGAATCTGGATATACTCTTTGTCCAGATTCGTTGTAATAGGATGTATCATATCCTAGTACTAGGTTGTCTTTTTTAGGGACGGAGGGAGTAGTGAATTAGTGATGGCTTACCAGTGTTGGCATGTATTGTATGTGGTAAGTTATTTCATACCAGGAGCCACTAGTAAACCCAAAATTTATATTTTCTTTCCTAAAATTGTGAAATGAGAACCCTAATCGATCGTGCCGATTGTGTATCTACATATTGATCAATGATTTAATTTGAGAGAGAGATGAGAAGAGTAATACCATTATAATGTGAGATCAGTAGTAGTTGAGTTGCACACAGCTCTTGCGCTAAGATCCCGGTCTTGAAATACCTTGGGTACTCTCGTTAACCTTTAGTTAGTGTTGTTCACTTGCTAAGATCCCGGCCGGCCGGACATCGCTTAAATATACAATGCAGAACGATTTCCAGTGTCTAATTAATTAATACGTGTTATGTTCTCCATTACAATATAATGTTCTGCTTTTTTGGACGGATTCGTCCTCAGCCCTTTCCAACAATAATATCTAGTTTTATAAAATGCATGCACTCTAACATATAATCGTTATAACAGAAAGGTAATATACGTATCATACATACATATACAAGTTTTACATACTCATGGCCGGCGCACAGCAGTCACAAAAAAATATAAAAAAGTTCTACTGCTATTCTCAGTCAAGAATTGATTGTATTTTACCCGTAATAAGAGAAAAAAATTGACAATTCTATGAGTATAAATTCATTAGAATTTTCTATTCCCCGCTGCTCTTTATGTGATGAATTACTACTCCATCTGTCTATACATTTATAAAAGATATTCTATAATAGTATTTCCCCCAACTAATTATCACCCCTCATTTAGTTTCCACCCAATATACCCCAACCATATATCATTCCATCCCCCATCCTTAATCCTAATCTCTCAAAAATTCCTAGGTCCATATATATATATTTGTAGAAGAAGATCAGAGTCACTACTAGAAAAATAATTTTTCCAGATGATGATATTTTTTTCTAGGCAGGTAGGGCTCTCGGAGCTAAATAACCGCCTGCGAAAATTACAACCGTGGGGTGAAATCGTTATCCGCCTGCAAAAATCTATTTTCGCAGGCGGACCACTTAAGCGATCCGCCTGCAAAAATACCTTTATTTTACAGGTGGACCTCTTAAGTGGTCCGCCTATGAAATTGGCGTGGCATATAAATAGACGCGACATCAATAATAGTTTTTCTAAGTCCTATCCTCTCTTCTCCCCTAGCTCTCCTCTCTTCCTCGGCCCTCAGCTCCCCTCTCCCTCAGCCCCTCAGCGACCGTGGGCATTCCGGGGGCAGCGACGGCAAGGTGCGGGGTCGGCGGACAACGGCGAGGCGTGAGGTCGGTGATGGCGAGGCATGGGGTGGGCGACGGCGATGCGCGGGGGCGGCGGCATCCACCCTCGGCGCGGCTCCTCTCCCCTCCCTTCTAGATGTGGCCGAAGAGGGGAGGGGAGAGCGGTGGTGGCTGCGGTTCCACTCCCTCCGAGATCCAGCCGGACGGAACGGGGAGGGCGGCATCGGCGGCGGTTCCCCTCCCTCCCAGGTTTGGCCGGAAGGAGGGGGGAGGGCGACGGCGGTTCCCTGTCCTCTCAGGTCCGGCCGGTAGGAGGGGGAGGGTGGTGGCGAGCGGCTCCCCTCACCTCTACTTCCTCTCCCTCTCCCTCCCAAAACCCTAACCTAGATCGGCCGGAGGTGGGTAGGGGCTTGGGTGGGGGTAGGCCCATAAGTTTGTGTACCCAAGCACTATATATATTTCACTAATTATCCTTGCCAACTCTTATCTAACTTGTGGCTAAGGATTACATAGTCAGATAAATTGTGACATGTCACACCTTAGTTGTAAAAGTTTGGTAAATTAAAACAAGCTTTCAAACAGCCCCTTCTTCAACAAAAATATTTCGTAGAGGCATTTAATTATTAGCCCTGTAGAATATCGAAAACTACAATTTCAATACAATGGAAAGTACATTTGTAGTTTGCTCTGTTTTATATTTTTACATTAATCTAGATGTATTGTTATGATTTTAAAAAGAAAATCATAATCTCATATTGGTAACAGTTTACAACAAGTAAACATTTTTTCCACTTTTAGGTTAGAACATTATTCGCTTCACCATAAGAATAGAGACATACAAGTGTGAGTTGTTTGTATTGATTTGGTGTTAAATAAATGATTGATAGATAAGAAAAATATTAGCCACTTGACAAGTAGACTCCCCCTTAGAATATTTAATTAACTAGATATGTTAAATATTATTTTATATTTAACTGTGCAAGCTCGAATAATTCGTAGCACCATAAAGCTATCCCTCATTATGGTAGCAACGCAAGAGTGCATTCATGTGCATCCCTCATAGTGGTTAGTTGTTGCTAGCTAGTTGCTGCATTCATGTGATTTGTTTGTGCTCTACATGTCTTACCAAGTTGAGGGTGAAACTAACATATGCTCCTATATCATATTAATTAGTATTATATATGTGGCTGGCTGATTGTATATTGGCATCATGGCCTGTATTGTCCCCTGTAACATGGCATTTGCATAATGCTTGGATCAACTTGGATTAGTGGATGCAAGTAGCTCAGGAAGCCAAATTATATCCCTGTGATTAACTTATGTTGTTGGTGCATGTTTCTCCACCACGAATTGGCTTCATCGTTTTTTTTTGTTGCTTTAAATTATAAATGTGTGTAATATTTGTATTTATACATACATATATATATACATATATATATATATATATATATATGTATTCTATACACATGCATAATATATATATTACAATGCATATATAAACAGGGCAATGCAAATAAAAAAAATGGTACATAGATCTTTAGTCCCGGTTATTTCACTCGGGACTAAAGATTGCTATCTTTAGTCCCGGATTCGTAGTCCCGGTCGGACAACCGGGACTAAAGGGGGTTACGAACCGGGACTACAGACGATTTCTCCACCAGTGTCATCGCTCTAGAATCCTTATACTGTGATATTTCAAACGGTTAGAATTATATTTGTGGACATGAGTGTTTGTGGCCTTTTTTTTCCCCCACTTAGTCGAGTTGGTATATCTACCTTAACTAATTGCTGCTATTTCGTATATATAAGTCCGTACTATTCATGATCGTCATATATGCGTACCTCGGCCAGCCTGCTTAATTAGTTCACACATCATGTTTGTTGTGACAATGTTGCAGCTTCTCCTCCTACTCCTCCTACTCCTCTCCATTTCGCTTGATGTTTCACACCTCATTGCTGAAGCAGCAGCAGCAGCAAAGCCACCTGTGTCCTTCAGCTTCAACTTCTCTGATCCATCCACCTACAGCCTAGATGACCTCCTGTTCGAAGGCGACGCGGCCAAGCCGAAAGACGGGCTGGTCGACCTCAACGCCGGCCGCAGTTGTTATCCCTATTGCCCCGCCGGCCGGATGTCGTACGCTCACCCGGTGCAGCTCTACGACGACACCACCGGCGGCGAAAAGGTGGTGGTGGCCAGCTTCTCCACGAGGTTCACCTTCACAATCAGACCCATCGACGACGGTATCAGAGGGGATGGTCTGGCTTTCTTCCTGGCCAGTTACCCATCTAAGCTGCCGGCCAACTCGTTCGGCGGCAACCTTGGACTCATCCCTGAAGGGACGACCACCGCCTTCGGTTCGGACCGGTTCATCGCCGTCGAGTTCGACACATACAACAACACTTTCGACCCCAAGAGCATCGACCACATTGGCATCGACATCAACTCCGTCGTCAGTTCCTTCAACACCACAATCTTGCCCAACTTCAGTCTGAACGGGACAATGACAGCCCACATCGAATTCAACGGCACAACGCGGATGCTGGTCGCCTCACTGTTGCTCGCTGGCCGTCCATGGTCTGCAGCGCCTGATTATCAGGTGAGTTTACGACTGCCAGATCCGATCACATCGTTGCTCCTGCCGCAGGTGGCCGTGGGTTTTACTGCATCCACCGCGGAATACAAGGAGCTCAACCGGATAATGTTATGGTCATTCAACTCAACTCTTACGCTAGTAAACCAAGGTACCTGACCATATCCCTACTGTTATAAAAAATTAAGATATTTTTGTCTATACTTTCATATGTCATTCGTATTTGAGTCAGTTTTACAGATTGTTTACTTTTGAAATCATTTTTAAAATACTGCATGCTAACTTGTGATGAGAATCGGACTCCTAATTGTTTTAGTATTCCTGCCAAGCCATTGAAAAGCAATGTACGTGATATGGCCAACATCCCAACCGGGATTCTGAATTACATATCAATACTTTCTTTAAATAAAAAATACCATATACTTTTTAGACAAAATAATCTACCAATAATATGTAAAATAGTATGCAATGTGTGTATATGTATATGATTCAGTTTTTCCTGTGCTAATGTCTTTCTTATCTTGTACTATTTTATTGTTTCCTTATTTTAAATACCATCTTTTTATTGTCTACTAGATTTTATGTAAATATGAGGTTTTTTTAAAAGAAAACAGAAATGTTAATGTCTAGACCAAGTGGGTCCTCGTTTGGCCAGATTCCATAGTTTGAAAGCCATGTCGTCAGAGCCTACTTATAGAGATGTAATTGGGTAGTCCTGTTACATATATAAAAATCTACTTGATAGTTTATTTTCTATATGATAGTACAAAATTTGGATGAAAAACGAATTAGAAGTGGAATAAGCGGATAAAAAAACCGCTTGTCCACCCCGCTTCCATCCCCCTATTTGTGGGCCAGCAGCCCAGCACCTCCCTGGCCTATGCCAGATTCAAGACACAGGGACGTCCATCCTCCATCCAGAAATACATTTTCAGAAAGCCCAAAAGTTTACACTTTGGTCGAGTCAACCGACCCTAGTCGAGGTCGTGCCTCCAAAGCTACTCGGAGGCAACCTTTCCTCTGCGCTGACGCATGGAGAATAAGTTCATTTGAAGTCCCTTAACTTGTCAACGAACTAAATTTTCGTCCTTCAACCTGAAAATCAGATACAACGGATTCCTCAACTATTAAAACCAGTACAAATGAGGTCCCTCGGTGATTTGGATGGCGGTTTTGGCTGACGTGGCGCTTACGTGGCTAATTTGACTCGGTTTTCATCTAATGTGGCGCTTACGTGGCAATTCAAACCGGAAAAATAAAAAAACCATGTGGGACCCACATGTTAGTGTCACACCCAAGTTAATAAAAATTTGGTGGGGCCCATATGTCATTCCCACTCTTCTTCCTCCTCCTCTCTCCCCATTTCCCCTCTCCTCTCTTCAGGCACGATGGAGAATCAGCAGCCCGGGGGGGGGGGGGGGGGCGGGGGGGGGGGGATATCAGCACCACCACCACCTCGCGATGTCGAGAAGGCGGCGGCGATCCCGACGAGGAACCAGATCCCGGCGTGCGGTACGACCCGCCGCTCTCGTCTGCAGATTGCACAAGACCAAACAAGAAGCAAATTGGATCATCAGCATGGCTTGCCATAAGAATCAAGAAACGGTTTTGATCAGTGGAGACGAAGGTTAGTACGTACCATTGTGGTAGCGAAGGTAGTGGTGATCGGGAGGTCGTTGGCGGCCATGGGGATGGACATGAACAGCTGTGTCTCACGTTCAAGCCCCATCCAGGCACTAGTAGAAAACTAATCTTTGCAGGCGGCCAAAACTAATCTTCGCAGGCGGGAGGGATGTCCGCCTGCATCACAACGACTGCGAAAATCGGGCAACGGCCCGCCTGCGAAAATGCAAAAAAAGAACAAAAAAAAATCGCCGCACGCGGCTCGCCGCTGTCCTCCCCCGGCCGGATCTGAGAGGGGAGGGGAGCCACCGCCGTCATCGTCGTCGCCGCCGCTCCATGCCGTTGTCGCCCCGCGCCTTCATCGCCGCCGCCGCCCCCTCCGGCCTCCCCCTTCCCTCCTCCGGCCAAATCTGCGAGGGAGGGAGGGAGGGGAGACGCCGCCGGCCGCCCCGCGCCGTCGTCGCCGCCGTCGCCCCCGCCGGCCTCCCCCCTCCCTCCTCCGGCCAAATCTGGGAGGGAGGGCGAGAGGGGAGCCGCCGCCGTCACCCCCGCCGGTCTCCCCCTCCCTCCTCCGGCTAGATCTGGGAGGGAGGGGGGAGGGGAGTCGCTGCCGCCGCCCGGCCCACGCCGCCGCCGCCCGGACTTCGGCCGCGCCTCCTCGCCGCTGCCGCCCTCCGCCGTCACCGCCCGCCGCCGGGGAGAGTAGAAGTAAGGGGAGGGGAGAGGAGGAGAGGGGAGGGGAGGGGAAAGGCCGGTGAGGAAGGGAGGAGAGGTGTGGAGTGAGGGGAGGACTGAGAGGTGTGAGGACATAGAAAAAAATTAGGGCCCGCAAGTCTATTTATATTCAAGTCTATTTTCACAGTCGGACCACTTAAGCAGCGCCTGCGAAAATAAGTGGTCCGCCTGCGAAAATCTATTTTCGCAAGCGGGCATCAAATTTCACCCCGATTTATATTTTTGTAGGCGGTCATTTGGCTCTAAGGGTCATGTCCGCCTACGAAAATAAGGCCCTCACGTTGGGAAAAATGCTTTTTCTAGTAGTGAGGAGCCCTTGCTGCTCTTCTCATGCGGCCACTCGTCGAAGAAGTGGCGGAGAGGTTTCTGCGCCACCGCCACGGCGCCGCATGGTCGTAGCCCGCTGGCTTCTCCAGCCGGAGGTCAGCGCCCAGGAGGCAGCAGTGCTGCTACTGTCGCCTCTCTTTCTCACCGTCCTCTTCTTTGGAAAGATAAGTGGCGTACGGCGACGCAGCGGTGTTGCCACAACTGGCGCCCTGGAAGAGCAGCGTGGTGTTCTGCTTGCGCTCCATGCCGAGCGGCTTGAACTGCCACTGGCCGTGTCCAGGCGTCGGCATGGTGGTGCTCCCTCTCGGTGCCGTCGGAGAAGAAGGCGTGCTCGCCATGCACCTCCTTGGTGGCGTGCCTCTACGCGTACTCCTTGTGGTCCATGGAGTAGTAGGACGGCGGCGGGTGAGGGTGGCTGGTGTCGAGGTGAAGGTGGAACGGGCTCACCTACGCGTGGTACGCCGCGGCGGCAGTGGGGGTGCGCGTGGTGGCCACGGCGTAGGGCCCGCCGCAGTAGGGCACTACGTCGTGCGCCGCCAGGCGGTCGTAGGACAATGCCGGGGAGGAGATGGTGGTGGTGGGGACGACGAGGACGACAGCGGTGGGTCATACCGCACACCGGGGTTCAGCTACTCATCGAGATCGCCGCCGACACCGCCGCACGGGAATACCAGCGCAGCCGCCGCCGCCTTCTCGCCGTCACATGGTGGTGGTGGTGCTGATTCCCCGGACGCTGACTCTCCATCATGTTTGGATAGAGGGGAGGGGAGATGGGGAGAGAGGAGGAAGAAGAAGAGGAGTGGGAATGACATGTGGGGCACATGTGAGCCCCACCATTTTTTTATTAAGTTGGGTGTGACACTAACATGTGGGTCTCATGTGGTTTATTATTTTTCCGGTTCGAATTGCCACGTAAGGGCCACACGGATGGACCTCGTCTGTTTTATGCATCTTTTGATTTAGCTTTTTCGATACCTCATTCACTTCAAGGGCACCCCATTGCAACTAATGAATAATGAATTTGTTGTCTTCTATCTGGGCCGACGCCGGGATTCACCAGAACCCTTTGTTGTATTCTTGAAGTCAATCCATAGTCATGAGTTTTGATTAAAGAAAGCAAGCCATACATACATCAGTGTGCTGAGAAGCAAACAGTTCCGCCGCCACTCCATGCTATATTTCCTGCATTGACCCTATCAAGCAAGAGAAGAGGGTTGGGGTGTGCTGTGATGGTCCTACTGATATAGAGCCCTTCCCTCATTGAAAAGAAAGATGCCCTTACCCGATAGTTCTTCTTGCTTTAGCTTGGATACCGGATAAGTTGATCTGATTCAAGATATCTTAGAACACAGCACATTCAGTGCATAGGCCGGCCATCATCTCTCTCCTCCATTTACTGCAAAAAAGTCGTCAGTCAAAACCGCCATCCAAGCCACCGAGGGACCTCATTTGCACTGGTTTTGACAGTTGAGGAACCCGTTGTATCTGGTTCAAGGACGAAAATCGGATTCGTTAACGAGTTAAGGGACCTCTGATGAACTTATTCATACGCATGGGACTGGTTGATCTGGCCACCCGGGAGCTAGGTCATGGCGCCATTATGGGATAGGGGCCCATGATCTAGGCTACCCAGGAACTGCTTGGTGCAACTTAACCATAACAGAAGCAGAGTAGGTAGTTCATCTCTTCCCAGAGCACGCCATATGGTTATGCTCGGAAAGGTGTCGGATCCCACACCCCAAGCATCATCTTGCGAGAACCCCTTGCTGACCCAGGAAGGATTATGTGGCGTCCTCGCAGGTCAGAGAAGGGTGGACGAATATCTGGTTGGATACCATGGCACCCCAAGATGTGGTACGTCAGCTGCAGAGCCTCGCATTAACTCCACATTCTCTTAGGGTGTGTTTAGTTCACGACAAAATTAGAAGTTTGATTGAAATTGGAAAGATGTGACGGTAAAGTTGGAAGTTTGAAGAAAAAGTTTGGAACTAAACTCGACCTTAGGATATTTCATAGCATTAACTCACTGGGATAGTGGGATACACCATATCGGAGTCCCTGTTTCACACGAACTGCACGCCGTGGGGTATGGAGCAGGAGGACTAGGAGACTACATATGGGCCCGGCGTAGAGACACGTCACATCCAGACCTAATTAGCAGGTAGCCTATGTGGCATATAAGTGTTGTGTGCACTTTATTGGTATCACCTTACTAGTTGAGCAAACATATAAGGCCTTATTAGGGTTGGCAACGGTTCAGGTTTGGGGTGAGTTGGGCTGGAGCGCCCCTAACCCCGACCCCCCTCCCCTCCCCCAAACTTCTCCATCCGCCCGTGTCCTGAGGTGAGATATCCGGGGTCAAAACACCTCATGGCTCTACCCCCGCAGGGGATCTGGTGGGTGAGCGGGCCCCGTATCACCTGAGTGCTCGTTTGGGATCAAGAGCTTCGTGGTGGCGACGTGTCACCGAGAGCGAACCATCAATTAGGAGATAGCAGGGAGTATAAGCAGCGGCACCAGGCCCTTCCTCAACTAGGTGGGCAGGGGGGCGGGGGGCAGAGGGGGAAACGAGGCAAGTGACGAAAAGAGGAGAGGGGAAAAGCAGTTGGCAGTGGAGAGGACGGCGAGTATGCGAGAGCGGGTGACATGAGCGTTGGCACCGCGCGAGTGCATGACTGTAAGGGCATTCATAGTGCGCCATATGCATTTGCTGTGCCTCACACGCCAGCTAGACCAGAAACAATGTTTAGCTACATGTACCATAGTGCAAGTGGCTTATTAGTGGGTCCCACAAGTACCAACTTTATCACTTTACCAGCTTTTCTTTATCCCCCTCTCTCACTACTTTTCCCCACCACATAGCGCCAAGTCGGGCCGAGCTCCTCCGCCGCCGACAAAAGGGGTGGCGGGGCTTGGAGAGCTCGCCGGTGCACCACCCTCCTCTCCCTCCTCCACCCCCTCCCCGAACCAACGGCAAAGTCGGCACTCGGAAGCGGGCGGCGGAGGAGCTCGGCGTCGGCTGGCGAGGGTGCCGTCGCTTCACCACCTCCGCGGGCTAGCTCCTCTCATCGCCGCCGGATGGGATGGCAAGCTCGGCGCGGATCTGGCTCGGATTCAGCGCCCCTACTCCTCTCCCTCTCTGGCGAGCTTCTTCGGCGCGGAAGTGACTTCTTTGGCGAGCTTCTTCACTCTCTCTCCTGCTCTGTGGCATGTGTGTTTCTCTGACAAAATTTGCTCAAGTTCTCGGAGCCAAAACAAGCCACACGAACCTGGTGAAAATATGGGCCCCACCTCCTTCTCTCCTCCACGCACACATTGTGCTTACATGGATAGACTTTGCCAGACGCCACGTGTGTGCACTGTGAACGCCCTAAGAGTTTATGTTGCTTATGTCGCGATGATGTCAACATGGTAGTACTGCCATACCTTGATGTCAGTACAACGTCAGCACGCAAAGTATTTTGTCGTTCCCGAATTTCTGCAATTCCATCTATGTCAATCCGGCGAGGGTTTCCCCTGTGGCTGTTTCGCTTGACTGAAGTATATACTACTGCTCGTTCAAAAATAATTCTAATAATTTATATGTGCAGATAGACGCAATAAGGCACTGCTTTTTGGAGGACTGATCATGGGAGGAGCTGTTGCATTGGCGTTAGTGCTGTGGTTCTTGATCTCTTGTTTGATGCAGAAGAGGGTACGTAATACCTTTGGAAAGGGCACAGGCGGCGCAGGCGATTCGAATACGACGATTTGGCCGTCGCGACTGGCAATTTCTCTGATGATCGCAAGCTCGGAGAGGGGGCCTTTGGGGTAGTGTACAGCGGATTCCTGAAGCGGTTGGAGCGTGAAGTTGCTGTGAAGAAAATAGTGAGGGAGTCCAACGAAGAGCACAAAGACTTCTTCGCCGAAGCCGCATCCGCATATACTTTAGAGCCTATGAAAATCGGCTATTTATACAGGTGCAGACTCAACTGCCCGTGGAGGGACCTCACACTGGTGGAGAAATTATCGATCTTTGGTCAGTCGGCTGAAATCCACAGTCCCGGTTCCACTAAAAACCGGGACTAAAGATGATCTCTCCTTAAAAAAAGGGTAGAAACTGCAAAACAAATCTCTCCCATTATATGAGAGATAACAGCACGAAGGTTTTAAGAACAACCAAAAAAAAAGAAAAAGACTAGGCTTCCAATCTTCTTCTAAGGTTCTAGCCATACACAGAGAAGAACTCCAACACACGCTTCTCCAGTAGCTTGCAATAGCTCTTAACTATTTCTTCGTCGACTCCTTTAAGAAGCAAAGACCAAGTCCTTGCCCAATGCGTTCCTATGAAAATAACATGCAAGAAAAATATAAGACTGGAGCCATTAAAGACCACATCGTTCCTATATAACCAAATTGCCCAAAGAATTAATGCAGCTATGCCCACAAACAATATTCTCTAGAGCCTAGGTTCAACACAATTCAGCCAATTCTCAAACATTTGAGACATGCTACATGGTTTCCTAATCCCAAATGTAGAAAGGAGCGCACTCCAAATATACGGCCATTGAACAATCAATCAACATTTGAGACATGCTACTGGGCTATATATAGAAGTGCTACTTTGTGACTAATTTACTTAAGTCATGTTAGCTAGGGAATGGATCGACGTTGATTTATGGCTGGATAGTTCTTGCTGTATTTTGGTAGCAATGATGGATGAACATCAATTTAAGGTTGGATAGCTTTTGTGGAATTTTGTTGTCAGAAGCAAATTCTAGGAACATTTGAACTGTAACTATGTGATGAATGCATGATTGCTTATAGCACTTTTTAGCTAGAAAGATGAGCAATCTTAATTATATATGTTGAACTTATGCTGGTTATTGTAACTAGCTAAGATTTCCATGCCATGTACACAATTTTCCCTACCATCCCAATTCCTAGGGAACCTTTGTATCCCTATGATTTTACAAAAGAAAACCTAGGGCACTTTCTATTTCCCCGCACATTGTTTTCCCTTGGAATTGTTTCCTACGAATCTCTCTAGGGGAACAAACTTCCTACGGTTTATTGCCCTTTCCCGAGTAAAATTTTTCTAGGGAACCTGGGGATTTCTAGTAGTGAAGAAAATTTCTGAGAGAGACTGATGAAATTTGACAATGATTTGCTTGTAGAGCGAAACAAAATAGCAGGCCTTCTTCGAGGATTAATAATTGGAGGAGTTGTTGTGTTGGCTCTAGTGTTGTGGATCTTGCTGTCTTGTTGGAAATGGAAAAGGGTCCAAAATTTCTTTCACAAGGGAACAGCCGGCGCCAGGAGGTTCGGGTACCGCGATTTGGCCATGGCGACAAATAATTTCTCGGACGTTCAGAAGCTCGGGGAGGGTGCATTTGGTAAGGTCTACCGTGGGTACCTACAGGAGTTGGGCCGTGATGTTGCTGTGAAGAAAATTGTGAAAGAGCTCAACGTAGGACACAAGGACTTCTTCACCGAAGTCACCACCATCAGCGAAGCCAGGCACAAGAATCTCCTTAAGTTCTACGGTTGGTGCATCCGGGGACATAGCTGGAACATCCTCCATTTCATGTGCGGCTGGTGTTGGAGTATGGAGAAGGAGCTTTTCCTTGTCTACGAATTGATGAATAATGGCAATCTCCATGAGTACTTACACGTGAGTAAGGAAGAAGCAGTACAGTCATGGTCTATGAGGTACGTAGCGAAGCACACGATTGTCAAATATTATGCTATTTCCGTTATCAACATCTATCCTAAAATATAAGGAGTTTTGGTTGAATTGGATACATTCTAGTACTTACTATCTGTGTCTTGTCGAACCTTAAAATTTTAAATCATTAATAGATTCAAAACTATTAGAGTTTGATATGAAAATGATACCAATACGTACATTAGTTAGGAAAAACACTTATATATATTAGTATATACCTAGGCATAAGAATTTGATTCATACCTATACCTAGCAACAAAACAACTCAAATTCAACATTATTTCACAATACATTATTACATACCTAACTAATTATATATTTGGATGCTATATACCTAGAATCAAAATCTAACCAAAAGATGTTCAAATCATACCTAAACACTTTAAAAAATAATTTCATACTCATTTGAATCTTGGTGCCCGGACACCATGGAGTACCAGTTATATATATATATACACACACACACACACATATATATATACATACATATATATATATATACACATATATATACATATAAAGTTGTTTATCATTTTCTATGAATATATTGGTTGGAAAAAGTAATGTGAGGTTTTGTGTATTGAATATTGTGTCGATACCCAGACGTCATGTAAAAAAATCTAAGCAAAGATCATTTTAGACAAGAGTGAGGTCAAACTTTAAAATCTTTGATGATGAATCATTTTTAAAACTTTTGTCTTTCAAATATAGTGACTACATATATAGATTAGTCTTAAAGAGCACTTTAATAAAATCATATATTTGTTTAATACTTATATATATATTATAAGAAAAATAATGGTCAAAGTTGTGTTTTGGAGATCGTGCCATTATCCAAAACCACAAGTATTATCAACACGGAGGGAGTAATTGGTTATATCCGATCGATCAGGTACAATATAGCCAAGGGTATTGGCTCAGCTCTATCCTACCTACATCACGACTGCAAGCCATATATCCTGCACAGAGATATCAAGCCAAAAAATGTACTCCTGGACAAAGAATATAATGTCAAGCTTGCCGACTTTGGTTTGTCAAGGATCGCGAAGCTTGACAATGATCCAACGTCGTTGCAAACAACTGTAGTAGGCACTGTGGAAGGGTGTGTATTGACAACTTCTGTAGGACCGGTAGATTACATGGATCCACAGTGCAAGAAAGATGGCAAGGTCAAGTTCAACCCCTACTCAGACGTGTTCAGCTTCGGCCTCGTCCTGTTGGAGATCGCGTGCAAAGACAGATCCAGGGAGCAGATCTGCAGCCTGTACCGAAGCAAAGGTGATGTCGTGGAGGCTACGGACCAAAGGGTAAAGATTGTTGGTGACTCTGAAAGGAGAGAGATGGAGCGTGTCATCATCTTGGGGCTCTGGTGCTCTGCTTCTGACACTCAGCGTCGGCCTACCATGCAGGAAGCAATGAAACTACTTCTGGAGCCTGATGCCACCTTGCCTGACCTTAACTTCATCACCAACTCTGCATCAGTCTCATCAGTCCATGACGCCTCCAGGGCTTCTATTGCCAATAGATACGAGGAGGCACCATAGGCTGCTCTTCTATGTAGCTAGTAAGAAACATTACTGCTAGTTTTGGCTTTAACATACCAAGCTTTAAGAGATATTATTATTTTCGAACTATGTAATTATTCCACATCAAAGTTGTATTACGAAGTTAGGCCGTGCGCATGCGCATGTATTTAATGTTGTTTGAATTTTTATTATGAATACTTCTGGGTGGGTGACTGTTTCATAAAATATCTTTTTACTCTATTTTGAAGTTATTTTTGTCAATAATTTGTTTAGATTGCTTTGAGCGTTGGTTTTGATTTTCGTCTAATAACCCTTCAACGTATAAACTCTAAACTAAAATTACTTAAACCGTGCAGTCTTTCATTTATGAGAAAAATATTGTGGCAACAATAGAGTTGATTCATATGGAACCATTATGTGTACTATGTGTATGTTTATATATCTTACGTTTGGAGATTATAAATTTTGATTGAAAAAAATTTCTTCTATATTATAGATGGTTTTAAGGATTTTAGAATATAATAATTGATAGAGTTACTAGTACAAGCGCAGCGTGCTAACTGCTACTCCAGGCATGCAACAGTCAGGTCACTCCACGTCTCGTTATCCCGCTCCCATCATTATTAGAGTAAACGATTCACTTCGATAAAAACAACTTTCCCGTTTCTAGTACACTTCCTCCATCCATAAAAGTTAGACATATTTCACATTGAAAAAAGAACGAATTACCCTCCGAACTATCGCGGTCGACCGAATTACACCCCTGAATCCAAAACCGGATATTATTCACCCTGAACTTTCAATACCAGACGAATTACTCCCTCGATCCAAATCAGAGCGGTTTTGTTCTACGTGGCGTACACGTGGCAACCCAGTCAGTATTTTCTATTTTTAAAAAATGTGGGACCCACATGTCCTTCCGTTTCACTCTCTCTCTCTCGGTCACGGAGCAATGCAGGGGCAGGATGTGGGCGGTAGCGCGAGCGGCAGCAGCGAGCCACAGCCTGTGAGGAGTGCTACGAAGGTACGTAGCACGTCAGGGTGCCATGTAGTAGTTCTACATACGTGTGTGTGTGTCTATATATATATATATATATATATATATATATATATATATATATATATATATATATACACTGATTCTCCCGTGACTCTGCAAGCGAGAAAAATTTAGGAATCGAGCGTCAATCTTGCCGTATAAAATACACAAATACTAACCTGCTGCTTTGGATGACCTGCACTACTGTGACTCCTCGATTTTGCCCCGGCTGCCCCGCTCCTGCATTCAGGCGACTCCAGATCGATGACTTATGCTCCTGGGACACCAACGGGTGGCAGATCCTTTAGATCGATTACCTCTACTTCAGTATCTCCGATTGGTGAAGGAGAGGAGCCATCACTGGAGGAAGGAACAAGCAGATTCAATGATCAGTATAGATCGCTTCTATGATCCTCCACCAGCCGCCGAGTCGCCGCTGAATCGCCGTGGGGACAATCCGAGGAGGAGTCGCCTCGTTGCCTCCCAAAACCCAGAAATTTCGTGATGCGCTGTTGGATCTGTTCCGATATTAGCGGTAAGATAATTTTGCCCTGAATAATTAATTCCATAATTCACGATGTACATACCGGGTCCGCTGAGTCAACACCCGTTAAGGTGTACACGGATTAACTCGTATCTGGTTGTTCGGATGAACGGTGGATGCAAGAGGGAGTACATACACCTGGGTGTATAGAACCATTTTCCTATATATATTTACATAGATATATATATACATACATATACATATACATATATATATATACATATATATATATACATATATATCAATATACATATATATATTTACATATATATCTATATACATATATATATATACATATATAGATAGATAGATAAAGACCTTCAAGCTCTCCACGTGCAACACGAACATGGGGACGAAGGCCGGGAGGAGGACGGATAAGACGACCACGAAGAAGCTCGTGGCGCCACGAACCGCCACCATTAGGATGAGCTGGTCGTTGGCGCTGGCCCTGCGCGCGAGGATTGAGGCGATGCTGTCGACGTCAGTCACCGACCAGCCGCCGCCCACCGCCCGCCCCCACGCGTCATCTGACCGTCCACCACCGCTAGCTGCCAGCCGCGCTCGCTACTGCCGCTTGCGCCGCCGCCCACATCCTACCCCTACACTTCTCCGTGACCGTGAGAGAGGGAGAGTGAAGAGAGAGGAAGAGGGGAAGGGAATGTGGGTCCCACATTTTTTAAAAATAGAAAATGCTGATTGGGTTGCCACGTGTACGCCACGTAGGACAAAACCGCTCTGATTTGGATCGAGGGTGGTAATTTGTCCGGTATTGAAAGTTCAGGATGAACAATATCTGGTTTTTGGGTTAAGGGGTGTAATTCTGTCGACCTCGATAGTTAAGGGGGGTAATTCATACTTTTCTCTTTCACATTTGAATTTTTCCAAATAAGTTGTTCATATTGTAGTCTTTATGCATTCAAGACTTAAATGAAGAGATAAATTAAATGTTTGATTAGAACCCAATGAGTTATCTAAATACGCATTGGTTGTATATACTTGCATTCACTCCTTGATTTTGTAACATCCAAAATGATTTAATTTCCCCTTAATCTTGGAGACAAAAGTAATAGGTGTAACTTTTATGGATGGAGGGAGTTTATTCTTTTTTTTTTACCCAACAAAGCACTTTCAATCCTCCTACTTCATTTTTTATCTTTTTTCTGTATCTGAATTCGATCCACCATCTCAACCCGCAGATCGGTGAGGGCACTCTGGCGGGGGTAAGGCTAATGGGCGGGTGATCGCTCCTAGCGATCACCGGCCCGCCCCTCCACTATACGCTCCCTCCTCTCCCCCTTCCTCCTCCCCTTCTTCTCTTCCTACTATAGTACACCATACAATTTAAAAAAAAATAAAAAAAAAATAAAGTTGGAAAAATTTATTTATAGAAATACAAATACTATATATAAAAAATATTTAAATTAAAATTCAAATTTGAACGGGTATATAAACTTTTGACTTATAAATTTTGGGTCTATAAACTAATATTTGAATTCAAATTCAAATTTGAAACAGGTATGTAAACTTTTGACTTATAAACTTTGGGTCTATAAACTTTAGATGTATAGAAATACTATATATAAAATATTTGAATCCAAATTCAAATTTAAATCGGATAATAAACTTTATATGTGTAAACTTGAGGGGATCATTATTGTTCTCAGTTTTCAGACGCAGGATTTTTTTTAGTGGAGCCACTTTGCCGGCTGGACATGTTCTTTTCCCTATAGATTTTACGTCAGCTTTTGTTAGCATGTTTTCCGAACTACTAAACGATGTGTTTTATGTAAAAACATTTCATATAGAATTTTCTTTAAAATATCAAATATATTCATTTGTCAAGTTTGTAATAACTAAAACTTACACTACAAGAATATGACCTTCTGTGACGAATTCCTCGTGACATCGGAGCTATTTGTCATTAGCACATTCCATTTTATAACGATTAGTATGAGATGGGGTGGATTAGTGACAACAAAAGGTGTTCGTCGTTAATACCAACTAGAAATCGTGATAAAGTATTTCAATGGGACATTGTGACAAATATAATTTGTCATAAGGGGCAAAAAGCAAATGTCATAGATTTATATAATGCATTTCTAAAAAATATATTAAAAGTTGAAGTAATTTAATCAAGTGAATTAATAAGGAAACTAAAAATTTCCTTTAAAAATCATGGCCGGCAAAAATTTCCTTGAATTTTCCGCAAAATTTTACGTGGTATAAATTATTCTCTGAAATTTTCCTTGAATTTTCGAAGCTCAATAACTAATTTAATACTACAAAATTCATTTAACCTATTAAAATAAATAAAAAATAAATTAAAATCCCTCTCTCTCCTTGGGCTTTTTGTGGCCCAAGTGTTACTCTCTCCCCTCCTCAGCCCACAGCCTCTCTCCCTCTTCGGGCCAGCTTCCGCTTCCCCTCCTCCCTCTTCGGGCCACCGGCCCAACCCTTTTGCTCTTCCCTCGCCTAGAAGTCTATTTTCCTCCCTCCTCTCAATTCTAATTTTTCGGGTACTAAATGATTTCAAACAAAGTTGTATAACTTATCAAGATCTACAACTTTTGTTTTGATCATTTTGCTATATAACTTTGTTTCAATAATTTGGATTTGAATTTTAAATTATGACAACTTCGAAAAACATTTTCAAATACTAAATGATTTCAAATGAAGAAGTCATCAACAACAAAATTGTATAACTCATCAATATCTACAACTTTTGTTTTGTTCATTTTGCTATATGACTTTATTTCAATAATTTGAATTTGAATTTCAAATTATGACAACTTCATACAACATTTTCAAATAATAAATGATTTCAACTGAAAATGTCATCAACAACAAAGTTGTATAACTCATCAATATCTATAACTTTTATTTTAGTCATTTCTTCATCTAACAAAATGATAGTAATATTGTTCACAAAATTTATATATCTCTCTTATAGTTTATAAAACCATATAAGAGACAGTTGCAACTGGACATGACTTTGCATTACATGAAAACAAAATCATTGAATACCAAGATCAATTACCAGTTGTAGATCCAGCCTGATCTTTTCTTTCAGAATCAATATTGTGTTTGTTGTAAATCACTATTTACTCCTTCTCTTTATTATCTAATTTTGTTCTTACCTTTATCACCTTTTCATATTCTTGCCATATTTTATTAGACCACTAAAAATCGTTCTTTTATCATCTTATCATATAGGACAGTATCTTGTATTGTAAATGTTTTCCTTTCATCAAAACCACCAATTGGTGTTTAGATGCACCTACAATAATAAGATCTCTAATTTTAAATGTGCCTTCGTTCTAGAAAAGCAAAGTTTTATTCAACCACTAACATGCAAACAACATATGTTTCAGCTTCTTTTATCATGGCTCGAATAACATCTGCTATGCTAAGGTTCACCCACTTGGATAAGGAAACTTTTGTAAGTACATATAAATACTTTTCGGTATTGCGCCAACATAATATCCTATTTGTTATTAATGGCAAAATATTTTATAGCCTCTACCCCATGAGATTGTAGGCAGCTGCAATGGACACCATGGAAAACATTTAACCTTAGTTACACGCCATAACACACCAGTAAATGCCAAGCTGGAAAAAAGAGGCCAGTCATTCTATATCTGCAAAGGCTGGAAAAAATTTGTTGAGCTTACTGGCTTACGTGTTGGACAATGTGTTAGATTCAGCGTTGCCATGACTGCATATTTGACAAACATGGAGCAACCAAGCTTCCCATGACTGCTTCATCAAAAGGACACCTCAAGTTCAAGGCAAAAAGGTCTATACACCAAAACAGCAAAGGTATTGTTATCACACAAACACCTTTCGTCCGAGATAATATGATTGTAATCTCAAACCAATCAAGTGAAGGAACTCATCTATTCCATTAGTTATACATCATTTAGAATAACAATTTTCTTACTAACGTGCTTCATATTTCTATTTCAGGCCATTCATCTAATACTGATCCAGAATCATCATGTGCTATCAATCACAGGGTCAACAAATCAGGTCAACTCAGTATCCATGTCTTTACTTTAAATTACGTTTCTCTTTTAATCCTAATCAAATTTGGCCACGTACAAATAACGTCAGGCCACGCAGCAACACCATGACTTAACCGTACAGGACAATCTACGCTACCACTGCTGCAATTAAATTGCACCTGTAATTACACAACTCTAATTCTACGCCTGTGTATGCATGTATGCTCCACCTTCAATTCAATTAAATAGCTATCTTTTGAATGAAACAAATAATATTTTATTAAGAGTAAAGTATACGGGCGGTCCTTAAACTTGTAAAGGTATGTCATCTAGGTCCCTAAACTCTTAAAATGCATATCCAAGTCCCAGAACTTGTCATAGTGTGTCATCTAGGTTCCAAAATCGCCACAACCTCTTCAGAATCCTACGTGGCATTGATGTGACATGCTACACGGACATGACATGACATTATTTTGACTGACAAATGGAACCCATTTAATTTTTTCCTTTTTTTTCTCTTTTTCCCCTTTCTTCTCCTTTCTTTGTGACTCGTGCAGAAAAAAGAAAAAAAAAGAAGAATGAGAAGAAAATGAAAAAGAAAAAGAAAAGTAGAAAAAAAAAGAAAAGGGCATGTCACAAGCATGTGGCATTGCCACATCAGTGCCACGTAGGATCCTGGAGGGGATGTGTCAATTTGGGAACTAGATGATACACTTTGACAAGTTCTAGGACCTGGATATACATTTCGAGAGTTTATAGACCTATATGACACAACCCTACAAATTTAAGGACTGCCAATGCACTTTACTCTTTTATTAATGTAAATAAAAAATTAGATGCTCATAATTAGCATGTTAATATAATAAGTAGCCCGTGCAACGTACGGATTGACGACTAGCTAGTGTTATGGTAATTAGTTTTGCGCCTTATAAAGACACTGTGGGCACTGCACTTACCCATCTATTATGCCACTTACATATGTAAGCACTGCTAGAAAGACCAAACAACCTCAATGGCTATGTATGAACTGTTCACTACCTTATGTGTAAAGGCATGCTATCCTCTTTTCAGTATTTTTTACCTTTTTAAAATGATTTGTTATACCTGCTATCCTGTTTTCAGTACTCTTTTTAAAAATGATTAGTTATAGATGTGCACATTCTTTGCTGTTTCCACCTGCCTCGGCCAGGCGGCACGCCCAGCCATCTAGTCTGATCAAATCCCCACCCACGCCACAGATCGAAACGAAGGTCACCAATCTTCTAGAACGCCGTTTTTTTTAAGATCTTAATAATTTGATTAACTGACACAAATGGTGGTAAGCATACCACCTGTTGTACTGTACTGGTATAGACTATATATAGTAATCACTTGATCAGTAGCCCACTAGCTAGCTACTCCTAGCGAGCTAGCACCGGTGGAGAAACCATTTTTGGTCGGTCGACCAGATTTCACAATAGTCCCGGTTATATTAAAAACCGGGACTAAAAACATCTTTAGTCCCGGTTTGAAAGTTCCATGCTACTTTTCAATCTTTAGTCCCGGTTGGTAAGATCCATGTATAGTCCCGGTTGGTAACAGGTTGTATTAAAAACCGGGACTAAAAACATCTTTAGTCCCGGTTTGAAAGCTCCATGCTACTTTTTCAATCTTTAGTCCCGGTTGGTAACACCAACCGGGACTAAAGATCCATTTATAGTCCCGGTTGGTGTTACCAACCGGGAAAAAATATCGCCATACGCTTTACTCCCGGTAACACCAACCGGGGAAAAAAGATCGACGCGGAGATCGGAGAGACATGCGCAACCGGGAAAAAAGATCAACGCAGAGATCGGAGAGGCATGCGCGATCGGATCGAGGTATTTCCTTCTCTCCTTTAACTCCTCTCTTCTCCTCTCCTCAACCTTATCTCCACAACCTTATCTTCCTCTCCTTCTCCTCTCCTTCTCTCTAACAGACCGAGGGCGGTCAGGCGCAGAGGCCCGGCCGGTGCGGCGCGCGGTGAGGCGGCGGCCGGCGCGAGGGCGGCGGGGCGCGGCGGGCCCGCCGGCCGGCGCGGCAGCGGCGCGTCGCGCGGTGAGGCGGCGGCCTGCGGCGGCAGCCGGCGTGAGGGCGGCGGGGCGCGGAGGCCCGGCCGGCGCGGCGGCGGGGCGCGGCGGCGGCGCGTGGCGCGGTGAGGCGGCGGCCGGCGCGAGGGCGGCGGGGCGTGGAGGGCCGGCCGGCGAGGCGGCGGCGCGCTGCGAGGTGGTGGATTTTTTTTTAAGAATTTGAGATTGTTGTATGATGTATTTGATTGGATCTGATTGTTGTGTGATGTATTTGATTTGTGTGTGATGTGAATATTTGATAATTTTGTAGAAGTTGTGATGTAATTTTTCTTTTGAGATTTTGTGATGTATTTGAGTATTTGTGATGATCGATTGTGGATTTGGAAGCAATTTGAGAATGATTGATTTGTGATTTTGGGACGGGATTGATTTGTGATTTTGATTAAAAACAATGAAGAAAAGAAAATAATAAAGGGCAACCGGATCTAGTCTTTTTAGTTCCGGTTGATGTTTTAAATATAAAGCATCTTTAGTCCCGGTTGGTAACACCAACACCAACCGAGACTAAAAATGGATTTTTACTCCCGGTTTTTTCACCCGGGACTAAAGATAGCGATCTTTAGTCCCGGATTCGTAGTCCCGGTTGGAAAACCGGGACTACAGGAGGGTTACGAACCGGGAGTAAAAACCCTTTCTCCACCAGTGTGGCATCGTATATTTATACTAGCTATCTTGCATATATTGTACACCCTCGTTGCACCAATTCAGCGTACGTATGCTACCTTTACCCGAGAAACAAAGATTGAGTTTATTTCTTCTCCCACCTTCCTCCCCTATTCTCATATAACTACTGACGCCGACTGCAGAAACTCGAGGGAGAAAACAACAGCAGAAGAATAGCTGCCTCTCCCTCTAATTCCCTCAACGGGATCTGATCACCAACCACAAATTTGCAAATCTCTTCTTTGAACATCAGCATAGGTGTTTCCTGTCGACTCAACAGGTTTTTAATGACTTCTCTCCCACTGAATTTAAACAAAGAGGTGATGTGCATCTCCTGCCATACAATGCCTAAAATTGAGTCACTTGGATACAAGCATGATAACTATTATTATAAACAAATTTCAAAAAGATCGAACACAAGTAACGAAGCCTACCAGAGGGGGTGAATGGTAGATTACGTCAGCGGAAGTCAAATAATCGAATTTTGATAGATCAAAATACACCCCAACCTCAAAAACTAATGGAATACACGTTCGGCGGTCTATCCGACCTACTAGAGTCGGTCTGACCGAGGCTTGGCCGATCTGACCGCATGTCACTCGGCGATCGGACCGTCAGCCCTAAAAACAGCGTGACAACGCTTTTGCAAAAACTCGATTTCTCTTAAACCAACCGTTGGATCGACTTGAAAATTTGATAGAATAAACAAGACAAACTAAGTAACAACTCCACCGGAGGGATTTGCAAACTAACAAATGGTTTAAGAGAAAACACACTCGAAAATCAGCTGTCTCAGAATGTCTCAGAATTTCAGCAAATCTGAACTAAACCTAAAACTTAAGCAAATTCGAATCTAGTAAAAACCAATCAACAAAACTTTCCAGATCTGATATATGAAGTATTAGAAAGGTTTTGGATGGATTAACTCAAGGCGAAGCTACGTGAAATCGTTGGGGTCAGTAGACCTCGACAATTTCTTAAGCTTCCCCTTATATCCATGTCTATTTTACAGCTATGACCCCAATCAACAAAAGCACTAAGACCCCGGTGATTTGTTTCATTCAAGCTCAATTGACAGCGAGGAACAACACTATTAGCACGTGGCAAATACAAAATTAGTTAACACTTATGATTATACGTCATTCCAGACAAATATATACATTTCGGATTTGAGTCCACAATGGTGATTTTTGAAAGACTAATAGAGTCAACAGTTCAAATCCAAATAATGATGTGGTCGTTTGCTTTCATATGTCTTGTGAAACTAGAATTTCTACCTACAATTCCGAACATTGATGTGTTGTAAATTGTAATTAACATGTACTCCCTCCGTTTCGAGTTATAAGATGTTTTGACTTTGGTCAAAGTCAAACTACTTCTAGTTTGAGTAAGTTTATAGACAAATATAGTAATATTTACATTACCAAATTACTTTCTCCGTTTCGTAATGTAAGTCATTCTAGCATTACCCATATTCATATAGATGTTAATGAATCTAGCTATATATGTATATCTAGATTCATTAACATTTATATGGATGTAGATAATGCTAGAATGACTTACATTATGAAACGGAGAGAGTAATTTTATTAAATTAATAATTAAATATATTTTAATAATAAGTTTATCTTTGGTGGAAAATATTACTATTTATTTATAAACTCGGTCAAACTTGAAACAGTTTGATTTTGACCAAAGTCAAACATCTTATAACCTGAAACGGAGGGAGTAAGAGATAGCCACTACAAGAACAATAATTTATTTTATCGTGCCTTCATTCCTATTGTTCCGTACGCTTTTCCAATGTCTAATCTCTCGTTTCCACGTGCACGCTTCCCAAACTGCTAAACTATGCGTTTTTCAAAAAAAATCTATAGAAAAGTCATTTTAAAAATTGTATTAATCCATGTCGCGTCCCAAAAAGACTCTAAAATACATCCTAGAAATTATGCATAGAATAAGTAAAATCTATGTGAAAGCCTCCAACAATTAAAACGTGCAAAGATAAAAGTCAAATAAGGCTTGGAGGATTTTTGTATATTTCCTAAAAAGCCTAAAATGTGTAAATAAATTTTAGTGGAATTTTCAGAGCACAAATAATAATTAAGAAGAAATAAACAAAGTTAAAAAGGTTTTATAAAAAGAAAAACCCTAAAAAGTCTTCTTTCCCCCCTTCCCTTCTTGGGCCGGCTCGGCCCAGCTCCCTCCCTCTCTCTCCTCTCCCCCGCGGCCCAATCGGCCCCCTCCCCGCGCGCGCGCCGCTGACGGGCGGGCCCGCCCGCCACCCTCGCTGACGGGTGGGGCCCACCCGTCATCCCCTACCTCCCGCCGCACCCGCCGCCTCGCCCGTGCCCTAGCGCCGCCGCCGCCGCGGATTCCGCCGCATCCCGCCGTCCCCGCGCGCAATAAAGAGGGGGAAATCACTCCCCGTGATTCCCTCTCCCTTTCCCCCCACTTTTCCCTCTCTCTCTCCCTCGGATTCGTTTGGAATCGCTCCCGCAAACTTCGCCGGCGCATCAATGGCGGCCGGATCTTCCGCGGCCGATTCCCCCTCATCCGGCCGCTCTCTCCCCCTCCCAACACTATATAAACACTCCCCGTGCCTCCCTCCTCCGTTTCCGCCAGTCGCCGCTCTCTCTCCCCGTCGGATTCGAGCTCGCGCCGTCGCCCTCTCTCTCCGCCGTCACCGCCGAGCTCCGGTCCGCCGCCGTCGTCGCCCCGGACCTCCTCCCGCTTCGGCAT